TGGGTTATCTGCATGACTGGCAATGTCAGAGGTTGTTGATTTGAGCCTTTTACAGCTCAGCATATTAATATGGCTTTACCTTTTATACTTCATTTTTATACTTTTCTGCTGTATAGTTAAGACCAAGATAAAGCAAGATCTATATAACAAAATATGTAACTTTTTTACAAGCACAGATTATAGCAAAGACTACATGTAAATGTCACACTTAGCATGAACTACAATGACTAGATTTGCAAGCTTGATATGGATTACTGACTGGCCCTCTTCAAACTCTGTGGTCAACTTGGTTGAGATTCTTTTCTAGTGAGCACTCACCTTGCTTAGTCATCAGATCTGTCCTCCTTTCCCCATAGCCTTGTTAGACTGTTGCCTGGTGTGTTCACAGTAATAAATGGAATAGAACAACCTCTGTCTTGTCATATCCCTTGATAAGTAGTCAAGGGATTATAATGAAGTTATTACCAACTTTACTGCATACATTCAATATTTTTTCCTTTCTCTCCAATGTTACCTGTATAGTATTTACATTAGGAGGTGACTATACTGAGAATTTTGAATTCAGGAGGGTTACTAATTCATTCTTAGACTTTAGGCAGTTTAATGACTGTTCCCCTGGGAGTGATTTTTCTCATCAATAGAATGGGTGCTCATGGTCTCCTATATTTATATCATAAAGATTGTTAGAAGATAAAGTGAAATTCAAGTGTAAACACATTTCTGGCACTCTATACTCCTATGTGGTCCATGACTGACCCTGCAGGTCTCATCATACCTGGTCAGCATGATTCACTCAGATTATCAGTAATACATACACTAGCCATAGCATTTTTTATTTTTTTATTTGGACTTCATATTTGACTGTAGTTTGGTGTTTCACATGAAATTCAGAAAGAAAACTTTTTCAGACAAAAACAAATTATAAGACATAAGAGTTTTTGTACTGCTTTATCAAATATTTATTCATATAGAACAGAATAACAGCCATCCTGTGTTTAAAAGGCTACTTGGTTATAGGGAAAGTTGTTGTATTTTGTAGAACAAAATACAAACACGGTAGAATTTATCACAACCAAGAGCTGCTTTCAGATAAAAACAGTAATTTGTTACTGGCACTATTAAAGAAGCCACAGAACACATAAGCTTTGAGAATTTAAGTGTTGTTCAAACACTATTAATAACTTCTTGCTTCTGGAAAGATGCTATGACTTGGACATTCAATAAAATCTCAAAAAAGACAAAAAAAAGTGAAGTGCAAATGAAAATTGGATGGTGTGTTGTCCTCTCAAAATTCAATTACATAGTCTAATGCCAAACACTTTTTTATTTTAAAAAGAAAAAACAAAAATGAAATAACAACAAAGACAACAACAAAACAAAGCAAAAATGGAAAAAATGATATAGGATTTCAAAATAAGATGATAGGAATTAAGTGGTTATTATATTACACATTGTTATCTTTCAATAAAGTTGCTCAGATTAACAGATGTAAGAATACAAGATTACTGTAACTCAGTGATGTCCCAAATTTTCTGATCAAGGAGATTATGGGGCCACAGAGGAAAGTGATCAATGATGTAGAGTGTGCCTAAGAAGAGTCACATGGAGAGAAAACACTCTCTCAGGCTTTCATAGAGAACAAATTGGTCAAGCAATGGCTGTATCTCATCCACATGGCTGACATTGACAAGGGATCTACAAATGCGGTACAGGGCTTCAGGGTAAATCCTGAGGGGATTTGACTGACCTTGTCAGATACAAAAGTTACATTTTTTGTTATATAGGTCTTGCTTTATCTTGGTCTTAACCATCCAGCAGAAAAGTATAAAAATGAGGTATAAAAAGTAAAGCCATATTAATATGCTGAGCTGTAAAAGGCTCAAGTCAACTTCTGACATTGCCAGTCTTATGGAAAACCCACTATTATTATGGACTACTGGACTAGATTGGATTAT